AGGCCTGAAATCAACGAAGACATTATTTTTAAAATGGAGGGAGTGAATTTAGATCATACTCTCTCCGTCCTTAAATGCTTACCACATTTTAAAAAACGAGGCAAAATATCAAGGTTTTTCAATTCATTTTATTTAAATATTGGTATAAAATAAAAAATAAAATTTACATATTTAAAAACTACTTAAAGAATTCTTTGAAATAAGATGTGTCAAAAATATTTTATTTTATCAAATAATCAATGAAAAAGTACAAATAAACAAAAGATCTCGTGACTGTTAAAAAAATAAATGTTACAAACATTTCAGGACGGATGAAGTATCATATAATGCTAGATCAAATCTAAGAATGAGTTTTTTATTAAAGACAAATTCTTCCTTGAATTTAAGGTTTATGCTTGTTTTATGTTATGCATTTGTAGCATATAAGAAATGAATCATTTCCAAAAGGAAAAAGAAAAAATATCCATATACAAATTCATCAAAAATGTGAGAAGATCTACATTTAAAATGTGGACCTTGGAGCATAAAAGATTTCTATCTCACCTCAAATGCCAAAAATACATTTAAAACAATTTCTACCCATAATAAAAGAGAAACATGATAAATTTTAATTATTTTAGATGTGAGTAAAAATATTTTATGAGATCTGCAAAAAAAATGAAATATGAATATTTTTTGAGAGGGAAGAAATATACTCCGTATATGATCAAGTTTATTTAATGTTTTTTTATCTTTTATGGGCAGGTACAATGATTGGAAAAGGGAATCTTTCATTAGAGTGTTTTTAAAACTTTTTAACCCACACTACCACATGGATTGGATGTTAGATGGGGAAATATTTTCATATGTTTCGTGGCTCAAAGTCTTAAACTTAGACTTCTTATGTTACCAATCATCATGTGTTAGACTTATTTCATCACCAGAATTTATATTGCCAAAAAAAAAAAAGTAGATTATGCTCCATCGTAAAATGTGAAAACGTAAAATGCAACAATTGTTACATCGAATTATTTTAGAAAGGTGTATCAACATATTTTGATAGACTGTTTAGAATCTGTGAATTTTGTAAAATTTATGGATTATTTTAAGTCTATGCAGAGTTAAGAAGATTTTAACGTATTTTATCAACATGATTTTATAAGATTCTGTCTGATTATTTATAATATTTGGATTATTTATGTATAGATATAATTACAGTGCTTAGTTTCAGTGTTTTGACATTAAATTCAGTACGGTGTTTAGCATCTTCAAAAAAAATCAGTGCTTGCATTTTGAAATTGTAATTCAATTATGATTTTTTATGTTAGTATTTTTAAAATTAATTTACACCATTAATAATGTTCCAAAACAATAATGCGCTATTTCCAAACGAAGTCTAAGTTCCTTTAATTGAAGTAGGGTTAGTGTAACATACACCTTACAAGCAAATGGACATTCTCATATAAAACAATTTAATAAAAAATAAATTACATTATTAAGAACAATAAGAATAATAGAAAATAGATTATAATTATTATTATTATTTACTTTTTTATTTTATGGTTACCATAATTTCTTATTCTATTTTGGTTAAGATTCTCCATGTTTTTTATATTTAAATTGATGTAACAATTACTATTGAATCATGATATCAAATCTATCGTCTCTCTTCTAAAACACCTAGCTTCCTTTGTTTTACGATTGTGCACTACCGCCGGTCTTCATCATCGACGGTAGATTGCCAAAATCGTGTGCGTGATCGAAGAATTATAAAGCTACATTTATTTGTGTTTTTATTGATTTCGAGAGCATGGAAAGCGATAGAAGTGTAGAAAACAGCCCAAACTTCTACATAGAAAAAAAATTCAGCAAACGTACTCTCAAGATCATTCATCATGTAGCAAAGATTTATCTCTCTAGTCTCTACTTCTAGTAATTATCCTCACAAATCTACTTCCGACAGGGTCTAGTACTATACATGTGCTCCAAGCCACTCTTTGTTACCGATGGTCAAATCTACTTTCCTTATTCTATAGTTAGCATGTTCTATAATTTTTTATTCTAGTTTGGTTAAGATTTTCCATATATTTTCTATTTATATGAATGTAACTTTTATTATTTGATAAGATCATCTATTATCAAATTTTATCATATATAAATAATTATTTAAATATTAAATAAATATTAATTAATTACCGAGTATATTAAAGGTCTATGTGCATCAGGGGATTCAGGGCACTTAAGAATTTGTTATCCAAGTAAAGATGAAGAATTTCACATTTTAAAGAAAAAATCTTCAATTATTTACTTAAATTCAACATTTTACGATCTACGATCGGCTCTATGTTTTGGACGATATTGATTTGTCAAATAATACGAGCATAATTTTCAAAACCGGACCGGTGACCGAATCGATCAAACTACCGGTTCACAGGTCGAACCAGTGGTTTAACCGGTCGAATCAGTGGTTTACACATATTTAATACACACACACACATACACCCTCTTTTGACTAAAATAAGATTAATTTAATTGAAGTGGGTTACTAAGTTAAAAAAATAAAATTAACATATTTGAAAATAATATTAAAATTTTTATAAAGAATAGGCGATTTTATTTTTTTTCAAATAAGTTACTCAAAATTAAGAAACACTCTAATGAAATATTTGCGTGATATGCATTTTGTAATAGTACACTCTAATGAAACACTCTAATGAAATATTTGCGTAGTATATCAAGAATTTTGAATTTGAATCATAGCAATAACATTATATTCTTTAAAGTTTTTAAAACATAAAAACATTTAAAAGAAATCCTTGAAGAGTAAAGAACCGCTCTAAAACAGTTGTTCCCATGAGTTGATCATAACCTCCTGTTGCAACTTCTAACTAGTCAGAAGTTAGATGGGTTGCGCTGCCCCCCCAAGCCGAAAGAGAAGCAATGGTCATTCTCCAGATACAAGGTAGCCTGTTAGAGAACCTTCTATGCCGGACACTGAGGACGGTCACTACCTACCGACCAGACACAAGGTAGCCAGTTACCGTCACATGCCATTTGGTACTGGCAGACTCTATCATAGCCCGTAACAAGGTACCGCCTGACGGTATCTTGGTACCGTCTGGCGGTACCCAGATACTGTCTGCCAGTACCCAGGTACCGTGATAGGTACCATCTGGACTATTGTTTTTTAAATCTTGTTTACATGTCTAAAATTGACTCCAAAGCCTTGTATGTGCACGACAGTAGGCAAGAGTACTCATACCCAATGTTAGGCTGATGTTTGATCATATTCATTATATTTAGATATGTAATTCACGTTAATTTGTGTTAAGCAATTATGAATCAAAAGTTGAATGACTGAAATACTCCACCTAGCAATTTATGGTCTTTTTTTCTAAACATTTTGATCTAAAGAAGTTAAAAGAGGACCTTTTTGGGATAAAGTAAATATTAGAATTGGTAAATCGGTTAATCAAATTAGATTACTTGTTGGGCTTAGTTTTAGTCTCATTTTCTTCTACATTTACTAGCTTTTTTCAATATTATTTGTGTTAATTTAGTTTTAAACAAGACCAGTTGTGATAAATGACCAGTTTTGGATTAGATACATTTTTTGGCTCATTTTTGGGATTTTTAGTGACTAATTCTGAGATAGGGCCCAATCTTAAAAGACCATGCCTAATTGCCCAAATAAAGAGCCCAGCTCTTTTCTTAAAACACAACCAGGCGAGTCAGTAAGTATGATGCGTGTACTATATGCATATTAACTAACTAAGACCCTGTTCCGTGCAACTTATTTTTTTTTACTTATTCTTATTAAAATCAAATCAGATCAGATCAGTCTAGATCAGATCAAATCCAATCAAATTAGACCAAATCAGATCAGATCCAATCAAATCAGACCAGATCAGATCCAATCAAGACTTATTATTATTATTAAAAATGAAAAATAATAAACTTTAGAAACCAGTTAAATAGAAAACTGAGAAAGTAATATTTAATTTTTAGACGTCGGAAAAATTATTTTTAAAATACATTGACAATGTCAATCTAATTCTACTTTTAAAATACCTTTTTATTGCTACCTGTAATTTGAGTTTCTAAAGTTTTGATCTTTTACTACATTGAGTTGATCAACTTTGATCATGACCTAAATAAAATTAACATTTGATATTCATATACGGAGTATATTTTAGTTTAATTGAAATAACTATTATATCTATGATGTTATATTAATCATAAAAAAGTTTCATAGTACGAAGCACACGTTGATATTTTATAAGGATGAGATATTTTCATAAAAATACTATCTATTCTCTATATTGATTATCTAAATTTAATTATTTTTTGATGTATATATGAATTAGATATTTATTCTAATGTATATATGAACTAATTATTAAAATATTAAATCAATATTCTTATTTTATAAAAAAATAATCATAAAATTAAAAATATTATTACATTATAATATGAATGATTATTCTAATATTTGAATTAACTAATTTTATTTCATTAAAAAAACATAAAATAAAAAATATGGATTATATTATAATATGAATTATCATTACTATTTTCAAACGTTATTATAAATACAAATCAAATTATTGATTTGAATTTTAAATAATATCATAATTAATCAAACTGGACCAGATCAGATCCAATCAGATCAGGTTAGATCAGAACTACAAAAAATCAGATGAGATAAAATGAGTTAAACGGAACGGAGCCTAATGCTTTTAGAACTTGGGTGAGAAAGTTTGACAAAAAACAAAAAAATGATTGTCCAAAAAATTACTCATCACATCAATTGGTTAAATTTAGTGCTTCACTTTCAGTTAATAAAAACCATTTTTTCATATAAAATGAAATCAGATCTTACTATAAAAGTTTAGATCGAATCAGAAAAATCACTTCACATCAGGCCAAAATAAGTATAAAAAAAAACTCTTTGGGCCAACGATTCACACCGCCCACTCCACAAGGTAAACTAGCTTGGGCCAACAATAGCAAAGTGTACAAATCCCTTTGGTGTATTCAAAAACCCCCCAAATCAACCCAATACAGAGAGGGGAAAAAGCCCTAATCTTGTAAGTTTTGGTTGCGAAACCAGAGAGAGAGGTGGCCGCGGAAGAAGATGACTCAAAAAGCCAATCTCTTCAAGGGCCAGCAAAAGGCGAAGTCAATCCCCCCCAATCGCCATGGAAAGCTCCCGAAAAATCGCAAAGGTATTCATTCCTCTGCTGCTTTCGATCCCATTCACTCGTCCTGGTGAGATGTTAATTATGACCTTTGAATTTCAGGGAAGAGAGTTGTGAAATCAGCTAAAAGCACAGACGCCGATCGTGTAAGTTCTTGTTCTTATGATTTCTGTACGTTGAAGATATGCCGATTGTTGTTGTCTGTTTGATTGGGTATTATTATTGTTGGAAAGTTCTAAAAGAAGTGTTATTATCATTTCTAAGATTAAGTTAGGTATATTGATTATCGAGACCGGCACAAATATGTGTAGTGAGTGACACCCAACAATCCAACGTACCCAATTCATTCTTAATACACAAAAAAATGTGTATGTTTTGTTACTCGATAGTTATGTCTTAGTTTTGATGGATTTAGGTCTTGTTTTGGGAACATCGTTCTCGATTAACGTTAGCATTTTGGATGAAATTTTATCAGGGTAGATTAATTTTGAAAACTCTAATGCTAAAAGCTACCGTCAGATAGTCTTTTCAAAATGCTAACGCTAACCAAACATGGGCTAAGTCCATCATGCACTATTAAAAAATGCAAATGCTAATCACCTAACTAATGAAAGTTTGGCTTGAGTTTGAATCTCTTCAAGTGAAAATTCATGGCAACTATTTATCTCTCACTTTCATAACCATGTTGGGGTTATATATACATTCATCTCACAGTGATTTAGTCTTTTCATCTTGGAGCGTTCTTCGCTTGTAAACCCAATTCCGACTCCTTAAGTATTGGACACTTATCTTCTCCCTTAGGCCCATAATTTTTGAGTCAAATAGCTAGAATCCTGATGCCGAAAAAAAAGGCTTGATCGTTGTCAATCTCTAGAACACTATTTTCAATCAAAATAGACAAGAACAACAGTCTCTTTTAGTGAATATTTCTGATATATGTTATTGCTTAATCGTGTTTCTTGGAGTTTAAGGGTACAATATTTTTCTTTTCTTTTAATGGAATGGTTTCAGGAGCTAACAAAGTTCATAAATCAATGCAATGAAGTAAAAGCTGCAAGTATTGCCACAAAGGATGGTGGCCAATTAAGTGTGGTTAAACTACAACAAGAGTCTTCCAATGCAGCAAAAAAATAGATCATCAACTCATGAATTTGAAGAGTAAAAGAAGCTGCTACTCTACCTATTTGCAGACTGTTTACATGTAACAGCAAACAATTTTTGTGCATTTCATATAAGTGTTAAGAACTTATCTTGGAAGAATTTATTGCTTTGTAGGACTAGAACATAGGTTGTATGTGTGGTATAAGGTTTAGTAACACAGTTTGTGTCAATGTTGATCCCAATCACTTCAGGTGTCTAGTATTTATTGACTCAAGTTATTTTTGAACTAATTTATTTTACATTGGTATAAAATTTTAAAGATACAATTTATATACTTAAAAAGTCTATCAAAATATTTTATAAAATTAGGGGTGACATTATTATATTATTTTATCAAATACTATGTAATAGATAAAATATGTAAAAAATAGCAGTTTGAACGCTTGAATAATACATCATTCTAATAAAAGGTTTTATTTGGACTTAGCATGAAAATTAATAATAGTAAAATGATATGGTTGAAAGTGATGCAGAAGAGAAAATTATAAGGGCTATGAGTTTTTTTAAAGTGAAGTAATTTGTTTAGGAGTTAGAACAAACAAAAAAAATACTCCCTCCGTTCCTATAAATATGAGAGATTTTGATTTTTAAAAGATTTAAGAAGTGTGTATTTTGGTGTTAGAGTTTTTAAAAATGTTATTGGATATGATGAATAAAAGTAAAATTTGATGGGTAGATTAACAGTGAATATATGTAATGTGATACTTAGAGTAAGAATTAGTAGAGCTAAAAGCGACTTTTAATAGGAATGAGAATTTTTTTTAAACAAGTGCAAAAAGAAAGGAGAGATTTTCAGGAACGGAAAGTGAACTTTTTTTATGTGAGGAAGAGGGTGTAAAGGTAAAGAATGGAATGAGATGGATTATATATATTTTTAATCAAATTATTGGTGCAAATATGTTTTAGAAAAAGGAAATAATTGTATCATGTGAATAGTTTCCCACTTTCCCCTCAAATAAGGTTTCATTTTACTTTATAATTATTGTATTAAATGTGATACTTTGAGCATTAATATTTATGTTTATACGTGAATAAATTTTATAAAAGTATGATATTTTAAAACTATATTTATAAAGAATTCAAATGATATTAAATTAATATTATTATTCAATATATTTTTAAAAAAGTTTATGGTCAAATTTTTTAAATATTAGAAAGTAAAATGAGAAATGTGTTTGAGACAGAAGAACTGACAAATCTATTAATTAAGTTGAATTACTTCATGTTCAAGTAGAGAGTTTGATTCTGTATTACAGGACTTGGGTCGATCTAACAGATCATAAGTTTTATTCTTAGAATCATTAAGTATATACTACATTTGTATTTTGATCTAAATTAAGAAAATGTCAAAATACATATATGTTTAAAAATTTAAAATACTTCATTTTGGTTGTCAAGTAATGTTTAGATATGTACAACAATATTATAAAAAATATTTAAAATTTAGATATGCACTTCCTTCGTCTCAAACAATTTTTCTCATTTACCAATGATGGTGTAAATTTGTCCAAATAAGAACTTGTCAAACGGACTCTACCAGGTAAGGAAAACAAATAAAAAGAGTAAATTCCATAATTAGTCCTTTATAACGGGGGGTTTCCATATTTAGTCCTCTATTATCAAATATTACCCCCGTAGTCCTTTTTTAAGGGTATCTTTCCACAAATGATCCTTTTTTTGATCTTCTGTCGTGTTGGTTTTAATTTAAAGGCTTAAAGTATAATTTGACGTCAACATTATGTCTAGTGACGTGTTCTGATATTGGTTAAACGGATAACACAAAAATAATGACTATAATTGTGGGCTAGGACTCTGACGAAAGATCACATTTGTACACTATAGTTGTCGTAAAAAGCGATTGTAATTTACAAACGACGCAAACGGAACAGCCTTTGAAATTGTGTATGATAAAAAAGATATATTATCATTGTGAAATTACACTTTTAGTCCTCAAATTAACACCAACATGATAGAAGATCAAAAAAGGACTATTTGTGGAAAGGTACCCATAAAAGAAGGACCACTTGAGTAATATTTGATAATAAAAAATTAAATAGGGAAAAAGGACCAATTATAGAATTTACTCAAATAAAAAAGTAATAATACAAAAATGACCTACTTACTGTTAGAATATCAAGAACATTATACGTCGATGCCCTATTGTCCGAACCACAACATGTGCTTCAATTGCTTCGTGGACTACGGAGGACCTTCAACCCTAGACTTCGCTTCTTCAGTTTTCACGATCCGTTGCCCACGTTTCTTTAGATCCACTGCTCACGTTTCTTAATATTGATGTAGAACTTTATGGTACCAGAGTATCTGTAACCCTAGCCGCATCACTCCACCCCATTCGCTGATCTCTTCTCGTCGGCCCTCCCCCTATGCCGACATTAGCAGCGGTATTTTCTCCCTTCCTCTCTCCTCTGTCGACTTCTCTCATGTCGAGTTTGTCGACAATAGAAAAATCCTCCTCCACCTCGCCATCAAATCCTCCTCACATTTCCTTTAACACGGTAGAGCAAATGGACCTAGAATATACACAACTCGAAAAAAAAGACTTCAAAATAATGATGAACATCGTCGACAATCTTGGTTCGGTAGAGCGAACGGTGATGTTGAAAATGAAAGACAAGATTACGAAGAAGTGACTTGAAAATTAAGTGCAAACGACGATAAGCGGAGGTGTTTGAACTTTTTTTTTAACACACTGTTATGTTTTTAATGTACTTTTTTTTAATAAGTACTTCTTATTTTTCAAACTTTACACAAATTTTTTTATATGTATCAATCTTAGTTAGTAAAATTAAATGTGTTTTTAAATTTAATTTAAGTTCTTAGTTTAAGTAATTTAAGTGTTACTTTGTAAAATACTTTGTATAATACAGAGTATAAAAGAACACACTTTCTGTCCCTAAAAGAATTATACTCTTTACTCTTCAAAATTCACATTTTTTTTTATTTATTTGTGTATTTTGATTTATTAATTGAAAGAATAAAATAATATTGTCACATCTTGTTTTGTAAATCTTTAAAATTGGTTTTAAATATGTAAATTTTATTTTAATTTCTATACTAGTATTTAAATAAAATAATTTAAAAAATTTGAAAATTTATTTTAATTTAGGTAGAGTATAAAATATTTTAGAATAGAGAGAATAGAGAGTAAATGTGGAAGGGAAAGAATTGAAAAGAAAAAACCAACGTGGGGTTTAAGAATTGAAAAGAAAACACCAATGTGAGGTTGAGTATACCCTTTGGCTTTGAGGTCTTATGAGTTCAAAATTCAAAGTCAATATACTAAAATATTTTTATTTGTAGAATAGACAATCTTGTTGTATCCACGCACGCAATTCCATTCCATCAAGGCAAGTCCAAACTGCTTCGTGCACATTCGAGCGTTCCCCTCACGCGATACAGTCTGCGCGTGTACGAAAAGTACGAGCACTTGGTGTTATTGCGTTTCTGAGGTAAGAAGCAAAAGCTGTGAAGAAAATGATAGCAACGTTTGACGAAACATCAGCCTCCACCACGTAGCTACAAAATCTAATTGAACTCCCTCCGTCTATCCCCCACGCGCCGCCTGAATCCGCCATCGATGGGCGCCCAAGAACCCGTAAGTCATCCGCTTCTTGAATATATTCTGGGCAATTTTGTTAAAGATTACATCTTTTTGAAGAACCCAGACAGGAATTTCTATTTTGTTTGTTTATTTGCTGGTTTTTGTGCAGGAAGAAGAAAGAAAAGCGGAGAGGGAGAGAGATGTGGAGAAAGGGGAGATGGGTCTTGGAGGAGAAGACCGCCGGAGACACCCGCCGCCGTCACAGCTTCAGCCGCCGGCGACGACTCAAGATTTCAACGTGTCAAGAATGCAACGGCTGAGTGCCACCAACCCTCTCCGGCTTGTCATGGACAATGCCGTCAGAGTCGCCTCGCCTTCTCCGGCTCAGCCGCCTCGCCGTTTCCATTCTCCGGCCCCTCCTCCTCCTCCTCTTTCTCAACCGCCTTTCTCTTCTCCGGCCGTCGCGCCCCCGCCTCCTCCTTCTCAGCCGCGCTCCATCCCAGACACAACGGTTACTCCCCAAGTAAGTCATAAAGATCGCTTTTTTAGTCGTTTGGGTAACCGAATCTTTATTTTTAGGCTCCATTTGGCTGAATTAAATTCCAAATCATTCTTGCGAATTAAAATAACTTTTACCAAATGGACCCTTAATGATACACTTTCTTTTCTTCTTCTTCTTCTTCTTCTCCTTCTTGATTAGCTGCAGCAACCATCTGTGGTTACACTGAATTCAAGATCGTACACAAACAAGTTTTCATTGATTCTGTTTCTTGTGCATCTGGTTGGGGCAATTGGGCTAGTGGGGTTTCTTGTGTTTAAGGGAGTTCAAGGCCTAATAGAAGCAGGGGAGGCCAAGGTTAAGGAAGAAAGGCTCTTAAAGTATTTTCTTCCCCAAGTGGAAGCTGCAAGTTTTCTCAGCATAACACTTGCCCTCTTATGGCAAAAGGGTTTCCGAATGTGGCCCAAATTCATGGTCCATTTCATTCTGTGGAGTTCTTTCATCCTCACGTTTGCAGCTGGGATCATGCTCATCTGTTTCCAAATGCCGTCCACGGATGGATTAGGCGTCGTTTTCATTTTCTTCGCAATAGGGAATGGGCTATATTCGTGTTGGGTCACCCCAAGAACGGATTTTTTCTGTAGAGTAATGATCAAGGCCCTAGAACCCGTCCCTAAATTCGGGGATTTGAATGCACCCACTTACTGGATGCTTGGTGCGGGGTTCGTTTGGATGTCGCTTTGGATTTTGGCTGTTGTGGGCGCCATCAACTTCTATCTCCCTCCATTGGTCATCATCGCACTGGTGTTGAGCATGGCTTGGGTCGCCGAGGTGATGAGGAATGTGGTGAACTTGACCGTTAGTAGGGTGGTCGCGCTCTATTACCTAAGGGGGATGCAATCGCGCACCAAGTTTTGTTTCCAAAGAGCTTTGTCCAACAACCTTGGGAGCGCCTCCCTCGGATCCCTTTTCGTGCCTGCTATTGAGGCACTGAGGATCGTCGCGCGTGGTTTGAATTTGTTGGAGGGGGAGGACGAGTTCATGTTTTGTTGCGCTCGTTGTGGCCTCAAAATCATGGACTCCATCTTCAAGCGCGGCAATGGCTGGGCCTATGTCCAGGTATTCCCTATTCTTAACTTGTTTTTTTCTCACCTCTTCTATTGCCATATAGAGTATTTGAAGTAATCTCAAAGTGCAAGGCCTTGGGCTACAATTTGTGCACTTTATCAAGCTCTTAATTAGGATTTGTATGTTTTGTTTTGTTTGTACAATAAAAGCTTTGATTATATCTGAGGCTCCCTCTGTTCCACAATTTGCGTTGTGAGTTGGAATGCGACACATATGAAGGCTGGTTACGTTTTTGTTGTCGACTTTACAATGTTGCCCCTACGAATTTATTGGTTTATGCTAAGAATGGCAAGGGTATTAATGTCTTTTTCTTATAAGGTTTTGCCTTTTATGGGAATGGAACCTTAATTTAAACATCCCTAATGGAAATCCAACTTAATTTGGGAAGGTGTGTATGACTTCAATGTGTTCTTGATCCATTGCAGCCATCTTCTTGTTTGCCTAAGATTCAAAATCAGAAGTTATCTTCTAGAAATTATTTCATTTATTGATTTTTTAAAAACCTTTTTTTTTAAAATATAATCACTCACATCAATCCATTTTGACCCCAAAGTTTATCCAACCAAAATGGGCTCTTTAGTGTATTATTATGTAAGAACTCCAAATAAAGAAACTGGTTAATTAAGTATGCATGCACAGATTGCTGCATATGGAAAGAGTTTTGTGAAAGCATCTCAAGACACATGGGAGCTCTTCAAGAGGCGGGAGATGGAGCCGATTGTGGATTCCGACATGACGAGCGCCATTTGCTTCCTCACCGGAATTTGCAGCGGCTCTATTTGTGCCATCGTCGTTGCCGCTTGGACCGCCACCGTCTACCGCAACTTCACTGCCACCCTCTCCCTCTTGGCTGCCTACATTGGTTACCTTTTGGTTAGCCTTTCACATCTCACCAAACTATATCCATACTCCCTTTATTCCTTTTTAACCATTGCGACTTTTTTGATACATTGAAGAAGGAATGAATGTAGACATAACGTATGTCTACATTCATTTTTTAATCTATCAAGAAAGTTAAAAAGGAATTGAGAGAGTACTCCTTTTGTGCAATACTTTTGTTAAAAGTTGCACACTCGTTTATACCAACAAATCCACTTTTTGATACGTTGAAAAATAAATGAATGTAGACATAATGTGTATCCACATTCAATGTTAAAAGTTTCATACAACGGAACCAACTCAACGAAAAATTTAAATTTGTGACAGACGATGATAGCAATGGCGGTGCCACAAGCATGCGTGAGTTGTTACTACGTTTGCTACGCAGAGAATCCAGAAATCCGGATTTTCGACAAGACGATCGAAGAGCGGATAAGAGCTATAAGAGAGGGACAGAACATGGTGGCGCCGACCCCGAGGGTTCCCGGCCGGTTTGCAAGGCAATACTTCAGATAGTAGTAATTAATCCATGTTGGACGGATTCTTCAAACAAGTGCCATTTTTCTATCCCCGAACATTCCAGTTTGGGTACGTGGAGGCGTCCCGACACCCAAATTCTTTGTAAAATTTTTTTAAAAATTGGGTTTTTTTTCCTCGTTACAACTTGGTAATTAATTAATGCTCTGATTTCAGCAGCTAATTAACCCTACCATTGAGTACATATATTGATTTGATGTGGTTGGGTGGGTGGGGAAGATCATCACAATGTAATGTTTGAATACTCCCTCCGTCCCAAATTATTTGCAATGTTTGTTTTTTCAGCAATCGCGAGAACTTTTGTTTATTTCTACGTTTTCATTGGTTATTTAGTAAAATAAAATATTTTTGACATCTCTTATTTCGAATAACTTTTTATGTAGTTTTTTGATATGTAAATTTTATTTTTTATTTCTATACCAATATCTAAATAAAATGAATTGAAAAAACTTTATATTTTGCTTCGGGAATACAAGTGTGGCAAATATTTAGGGACGGAGGAAGTAAGACATAAGTAGCAGCTTTGGATGCTCTTTTTGGTCCCCTTTTTTTGTGAATTTAAAATTAACGTTTTTTTGTATTACTATTATGAGTTAGGTAGACTGGAATTTCTTCCCAGAGTACTATTTCATCCTCACAGAAATTTTTATCTGTTTGCGTTTTTTCATGGCCTATATGATAAAATAAAATATTCTTGTCACCGTCTGTTTTGTTGAATTTTTGGTGTAGTTTTTAAATATATAGATTTTATTTTTTATTTCTATATCAATACTTAAATAAAATAGATTGAAAAAACTTGTGAATTTTTTCGTTTTGTGCAACGGAAAGAAAGATATGGGACAGAAGGAGTATTTATTATACTAGATAGTAGTACTGTAATAAATTTTTCATGATACATTGAAAAAGAGTTTTTAGTCTCTGTAAAATAGGTCATTTGTTTTGTGTTTCTCTATAAAAAAATTTGTGAAGTCATCTGATCTTTACAAAAAAATTTATTTTGAAAATGGTCCCTAAATATAATTTTACACTTCTAATTTGTTGAAATAACACATTTATTTCGTACTCAACATCTTAATCTTAAAATTTCTATATTTCTCAGACACAATTCGCATGACGTATAGATCGCCTTCTTCATCGAGGTACATCCCCACTTTCTAAATTTTATTATAGTATGTTTCTAAAATATTTGAGAATTGGAAATGTAATGTAAATAATGATACAATTTAGGACATGCGAATTGTATTTAGAAATGCAAGACTAAGACGTCTAGTATGAAACAAAAATATGTTCAAATAATGTTTAAGAACCATTTTAAAAATGATTTTTTGTAAGGATGACTTAACAAAAAAATATTTACAGGGATCAAAAACAAAAATCATCTATTTTACATGGACCAAAAACATATTTAACTCATTGAAAAATGAATAAATATAGATATATTTTATTTTTATATTTATTTATTTATTTAATATTCTGTATATCTTAAAAGTCATAATAGACAATTTAAAAACAATAGAGGCACTTTGGATTATACTCCATGTTTTTCCAGTTTTGACTTTTTGTTGTGGATCAAGATCGATCTTTGACCTATAATTTAATAAAAATTAAACAATACTCGTATATTAATTTGATAAAGCAGTATATCAAAAATATTTTACAAGATTAATCTAATAAAATTATTTTTATATCTATATGTTATATATATATATTATTTAATTAATGGTAAAAAATTTTCAATTGTGATTGTAAAGAGTTAAATTTTGATAGATATTCTGGAAGAGATGTAGCAATTATTATTACTCCATTGGTTTTCTTTAAAGTTGGTCATAAATGATTATTTATTCTCACTTTTGACTAAAATAATGCGTGCTTCATTTGCATCTTCATAAATGTTAGCCACAGAATTTTCGTTATAAAAATATATATTTGTAGTCTTCACAAAAGTTCTTAGAAAAGTCAAAGTGTCAAACCAATTGCACAGTTATTATTATTCCCAGGTTGAGAATGTTTGAATAATATTCGGCCAATGCCATTTCTTTACTCAAAAACTTCAACATTGTGTGGTGCCTAATTGTAATGATGATGATGATGATAATAATAATAATAATAATAATAATAATAATCTAAAGTGTAAAGCAAAAGGGATCCTCCTCAATAATCATAACAAGTCCCTAGTATTGTGTAATATTATACGAAGAAGTATGGAAAATGTAATGTCTTGAAACACGGGCTATCGGAACTAATTAATTAAAATGATTAGTCGATAGTTGAAATGGATTTGGAGCAATAAAATATTATAAAATTATTCCTTCCGTCCCAATTTAAATCATATATTTTGGTTTATGATGTTTACCTTAAGTTTCAATGCAGTTTATTAGCGAATTGGAGCAGAATTAAAAAAATAAATGTTATATATTAATAGACCACATCAAGAGGTGACATGATTATGTTATTTTATCAAATGACTAGTGAAAAAAATAGAGAAAGAAAATGAATAAAGTTTGACGATGTAATAGTAAACAAGTAATTTAATTTGAAACGAAAGGAGTTATAATATTTTTTCTCCGTCGCAATTTAATGTTTATTACCATTCATATTATAAATTTTCAACCATTTTAGCTATTTATTTGATAAAATATTACTCCATATTCAATTAACTTGTCCTGGAATATTTGTCTGGTTTTGATTTATATTGTAAAATATTTTCAAAATATTATTTTATCTAATTGATATACCGTGTAATTTTTATTTATTTATAAGTCAAAGATTGATTATGAATTATTACAAAAAGTCAAAACTGAAATAATAGTTTGGGAATGATCTCCTCTTTGTATTTAGTGTTAAGTTCGGCCATGTGAAGTCAATTCAAGCAAAGGTAGTTTAGGCCAATTAAGCTCCACAAGCTTAGCTTCCAAAAGAGGGTATAGTAGGTATGTACTTTATGTCTTTTACAACAATGCCAAACATATAGTGTAGGGAAAATGTTTTTTTTTTTGGGCTGGGAAACAACATACTTTAAGGAATAAAGTTTCACACGTTAAGAACATACAAAAGAAAAAGAAGGGCATATAGAAATTTGGCCAATATAATGAAGAAATAGCTAATGTTTATTATTTGTTTTTTAAGGATGTACTCCTAGTAAATAATACTTTCTTATTTATGTACAAGAAAATTTGTATACAAATAGTGTAATCATTTTTAAGGATAACAGTTAAATCTTTGATTGAGACCAGAAATTAATACTTTCTTATTTATGTAGTAAAGATTTCATGTCATCAAATGGAGTAAGATTTATGTTTAAAATTGTGTACTTCAGTTTAGTAGTGCTAAATTGAAAATTATTCCATATAAATCATCAATTTTTTTTGAATGCATATAAATCATCAAATTTGTTTCACTATCATTATTTATTAGTGAATGAGTGCAAAATTTGGAAGTCTCTACAAAATAAACCCATACTCCTTTTTCAACAAAGGGAACTCATTTGGGGCAAAATGTTGCACTTTCTTTTATTCTTTTTTTTTCTTTTTCTTATTTAAAAAAAGATGCTTACATGCTCCTCCTCCTAGATTAATGATCATCTTTTGTTTTCAGTTTCCACTAACGCCAATTTTGTTCACACAGAAACGATATTGGCTAATTTCAACTCAAGTATTAAAGTTTTAATAAATCAGGGGTATAACTTGTGTTTAAAAACATGATATTCTTACATGTAACAAATACGGATCACATTTCCTATTGATCTAAAAGTAACAATTATTGGAAAAGGTGCGGGAGTGCATTGGGGCCGGGGTGGGAACGAGGGGGGTTGGAGGAACTATCGCTCGTCGGCCTTTACTCAACATCCATTTCCCTCGGGATCTCAATGGATCCCTGTGGTTATACTTTCATCTGAAACGAGACATCTACAATTAATCAGACTAAAAAGATTGCAACAGAGAGAAGAGGGAGGGAGGAGACCACACCAACGATGGCACAAAGCCTCCCACAAATTGCAAAACTTCAATTTGGGTAACAATGTAACATAAAAGACTAAAAACTCATATGAGCCTAAGAGAAACTTGTTCTATTTTAATCCACATTACCTGCTATACGGGTAAGCAATACCCAGATTTCAACACCATTCTATCATTCCGTGACAAATCCACACCCCCAAAAAGAAGAAAAGATGATCATCCAACTGACTTCAAGATATAATGTGATATTGATGACATAACATGATGGACATAAAGGAAAGAACATAAACGTGCAAGAGTGGGTTTTGAATAAAGAAACGAGAAAGGGCGATGGGCTGCAAACACTGGTATGCGCGATTGCCTAGCAGTATCAATGTGCCTTCCCTTCTGTCGCGCCATCCTTTCCATCTGCTTTCACTTCCCTGGAGCAACACCCGCCTCCGGTGTGGTGGTGGTGGTGGTGTTGATGCTGATGCTTCTTACCTTTCAATAGTTTCCTCATATCATAAGCATCTTCGCCATCTGCATAGTACTTTGCTTCTACATCATGAATTTGGTACCCTAATGTCTCCGTGTACAGCTTGAATGCTGCCCTGTTACCTTTCCTGACATGCAATGACACATATTCTGCTCCAAAAACCTATCCCAAATTTAAAAGTCATACGCAATTTATGAGTTGTGACAGTAAGGGTATGTATGGATCCTGTAAAATGCTAGGGAAAGGAGCAAGACTTCTTAGGAAGGTTGTTCTCTTATGTTCAGCTTCACTTTGGAAATGCCAATGAAAATTAAATACTTCGTATAATAACCTTTTTAAAAATGAATATATTTTTAAATTTCTTAGCTTTTTATCATTGTAGTTTAAATATAATTGTTCCTAACAGACCTTACAGTACAAGGGAGGGCAAATGGGGTTTTATATAAGTTGCTATCTGTGTGTGTGTGTGTGTTTTTTTTTGGGGGGGGGGATCATAGAACTGCCAACAACAACAATAATAGGAAAACCATTGATCTGTCATCTGCTCGATTTCCCAATTTTCTTTTTGAATAGACTGTGTGCAAGACGTTTTATAAAAAAAAAGACTGCAAGACATAAATAACATTCTTTTTTACAAAAATGAACCATGAAATCACACATCAGCTACACTGCCTACTTATGAGAAACAAAAACCTAATAATATGACCTAAAGCGCAGACAATAGTCTAAGATAAAGATAATGCTTAAAAGTCTTAAAACAAAAGGTTGTAAAATGTGGGTCCATTTCTCCAATCTCCAGCAGTTCTTTATTCACCTACATATAGGCCAAGCTCTCTAACAAATACACAAATTACTCTTTGTAGAAAGTGTAATTAATCCATCTAATGTACCTGCTCCTTCCAGAGTTTCACTTTTACAAGTTGACGCTCCCGGATTTTATCATGCAGGCAGGCCAGACATGGAGTTTTACAGTAGACTATTTATAGGCCAATAATATTTTCTAAACTCATACAGAGTATACAGTAAAGTACTCATTTTTATTCTTTTATGGTAGGTAATTCAGATGAACGTTTATATTAGCCTTTCTTTACCAAGCTCCTTTTATTGAGAAACATTTAACTGTTATCTTATGTAAGTAAATTTGTCACATACCAGGATTGATACCACTACTGAAAAACTCCTACACTCCCTCTACATGTTTCATTAGGGTAATGAAGTCCATCTTCAACAAGCTCACCATTAAAGAAACCATTACTTCATTAAACAGTAGAATGCAAGATAATGATTGAAGCAAAAGATTAAAAGAAACCCACAGAAAATAGTGAAGTCACTCCAACCCAACCCAAACAGTATCTAACAATCAAATTCCCATAGCAAGTTTTAAGGTTTATTAAAGTCTAAAGCTTAAAAATAGAGGAGAAGAAACAGATTTTCCCCCGAATTGCACTGCAATCGCACTAAAGTTCCCTCTTTCCATCCATTTACAGCATTAGTTTGTTTCCTTTCCATATACGGAGAACAAGTTATATAAGCAATTATAAGTTCAAATGAAGCCACTATAAGTTCAAATGAAGCAATAATAAGTTCAAATGAAGGGGAAATTTCAAGATTGAGGGTGGTGCAGGACCTGTTCCATAGCGTTCTGGGCAGCAGTCATGAGCTTGGTGGCAATGCCGAGTTTGCGGTGGGTGCGAAGGACGGCGAGGGAGGTGATGTGGCCGTGGCACTCGTTGGTCTCCTCGTCCATCTTGGCGAGGACGTAGCCGACGATCTTGCCGTTGTAGTCCTCCGCCACATAGAGAAGCTGCGGCCAGGAGAGGATGTGGTAGAAGTAGTACTTCATCTGGTAGTTCTCCGGCAAGCACATCAGGTTGCACGCCTGCATCGCCAGCAGATCGTCGATCGTCGCCTTGCGGATGCACACCATCCCTCTCTGCGTGCGTGTGCGATTGATGCCCACCAGAAGAAGCCTTTCTTTTCTATTCTTTCAGAGTTTCTTGCCCTAATTCTGAATGGAATTTGGGGGTTTCGGAAGAACTCGTGGACCTGGACCAGAGCAGTGCTTTCTTTACTTTCTTACCCTTACAAAATTTTGTTTTCAAGGAAGAGTAGGAAACAACAATGACATTAATGATTAGAGAAATGCTACGTTCACAAATACTTTGGTCACAAAATACATAAACTTACTATTTGTGTATTTAAATGTCTACTTTTTAATTATTTAACATCATTTTATTCACTTGGTGAGGTGCACAAATGGCAAAATTGTGGGATTGTGCATTTTGTAACCAAAGTGTTTGTCACGCTCTTTTTTAAACGGAACATCTAGAGGCCCTAAATAGATCTCATGACATAGGATCACATTGGCTCCCAATGTTAAGGGAACCAAATCGAAATTATTAAATGTATTGTTTAATTTTCACTTTTTCAATTTTTTTTACATTACTTCCTCCGTCCCACACAGAATGCTCATTTCCTTTATTCAAAATTTGTGAGAATTTTTATTTAGTGGTTGAAACTTGTATACAAGCATAAATATTGTGATTTAAGTATCTTTACTGATTTTCATCACATTGAGTTTTAATGTCATGAAATTAAAAATGAAGTACTGCATAGGTTAACTGAGTGAACAAATAAGTACATTCAATATTGATGTGATCCTAAATAGTTATTCATTTAGAGTGAGCCATAGTAAAGAAATAGATATAACCTAATAACAAAGGGAGGGATAAAGTTGGACTACATTTAAGCTAGACACTAATAAACTTGTACTCTACAGAATTTTTTTAAACTAATAAACTATAGTCCATTGGGGAGTATATAACTCCATCCATTTTATTTAAAGATATACTCCGTAAATATACATTTCTACGTTAACTTATTCCAAAAACAAACTCCGATTTGAAGGAAACAAGCTAATTTTTGTAAATATATAGAAACCAGTCCTATTAGACTTAGAAACTCACCAAATAATAGAAACTATTGAGTACTACCCAGTAAATAATACTCTCTCCGTCCCATTTTAAATCGACTGTTTTGACTTTTGAGCATATTTAAGGAAGAGAAAAAATAGAATTGTTTTTCTGAAATTGTCATTACTTTTTAGGATGGGTGACGATGAATGAGAAGATAAGGTGGAGAAGAGTAACTTATTTTAGGGGTAGTTTTGGTATTTACTCTTAAATGTTTACGATAACAAGTAACATGCAACTTATTTTGGGACGGAGAAAAAAGGCAAACAGACAATTTAAAATGGGACAAAGGAAGTAGAAAATTACATTGTATAATACAAAGACTGCTCAAATAAATTATTATTACCACTAAATCTAACAAAAACCACCATTTTTTAGAAGAGAAAAAAAATACAATTTCCAACTTAGACATCACAAGTTCACATGAACACCATTTCAACAAACACAATAGAATTCCAAATAGTAAGGTCTCGGAAGATTGTGTACGCGTACGTTACCCTTACTTGAAAGTTGAAAGGCTATTCCCGAGAAACCCCCGACTCAACACAAAAACACACATAAAGACTTCACATGAACAATGGGAAGCAAATATGACCCTAAGAATGAACTGGCAACAACATAGCCACTACTTAAATTTCCAAACACTGATATAGTTAAGATTGTGTGCAGTCACTACCTTCTGCATTCCCACAGCCAAACATGTGATTTTCGGACGACAGGTTTTGGACATGAGATCGACGCGATCATTCGATGAGAGGTTTTTCACTCTCCTGACAATCACACTTCTTCCAGAAGAGGAAGAGGAGTGTACATTTCTGCTGTCTTCTTGTTCTTCCATAATGTGCCTGGATAATACCTCGCCGGAATCCTGGTCCACAACTCTCAAGACACCATCTATTCCACCTACTAATAATGTTGACTTGTCATTTCTGAGGTGATGCATGGAATAAATAACATTCGGGCTCACTCGGTCTTCCCATAGAGTCTTGTCTATCCTCCTTTGGTCAAGTGCGAAAAGAGAGTATCTTAGCCTTTGAAATGTTCACAGTTTAGAAGAGGTGATTGATCTCCTATCCTATGAGGTGGTTTCAGTGCAAGACAAGACTAAAATACAATGCTTTGGATGTTGAAAGTGGCACCCAGTACAATGGATAGCTATAGTTTGCAGTTCCAAAACCACGAGATTCTGATTTTAGAGTTGTGGTAATGAGTCATGCTAGTGGCACACCACTTTTGATACAACAGTGTCTCACGGACATACACACACATTTAGCCAGCTTTGCACTGTGTGTGTGCGTGTCAAAAGTGGTGTGCCTGAAAACCACTTGAGTTAAGGGTCCATTTGGAAAGTTTGAAAATGAATTCCCAAAAAAGACTTCTCAGAAATAAATTCATTTTCTGGCGTTCGCTTGAAAGTTTGGAAAATAAAAAAAACTAAATTTTTTGCTACTTGGTATAACATAATAAAACGTGGTGAGTTTCAATCTAGGAAGTAAGAGAAGGATGAAAATGTCTTTGGCCAGAGAAAAAAAAATCATTTGCCTCCTAATAAGGCTCATTTCCCGTTGACTTCGGAAATCATTCTGTGTCCACTCCTATTTCGCGGAGTAGCTAAATACCAGAAAATAGGAAACTGACTTCTGGAAGTCCCTCCCCCCCCCCTTCCCCAAACGGGACCCTAAATGCTATTCACGAATCATGAGGAAAATAATTTCAAAAAACTGGGTGTAGATCCTACTGATTTGGATGAAAAACATAGGGATGGTGATTTCCAAAATATTAATTTGGAAACAGATGTCCCATCTTAGTTTGGCCAAAATAGAAACCAAATAGACAGCTATCTAGCACAGATTGTGAAACCAGCAAAATAACCCCACTAATGCAAACCAAATACACCCAATACTGTTTCAAAAAAAAAATACACCCAATCCATTTAAAAATATAAAGTTTTGAAAAGTACTCTGTATTAGATACTTCAAAGAATTATATTCTAGCTCTGTCTTGCACAAGTTCACTTGGGAGTTAGTTGCATACCTAAGATCCCAACAGAATATGTGACCAGCTGTAGATCCCGCAAACAAACAATTCGCAGCAGGATTGAAACATAATGTCTTCATTCCCACTTACATAAAAAAAAGTGAATTAGTTCCATGATACAACAACAAAAACGACAACCCAGTTGAATCCCACAAAAGTAGGGTCTGGGGAGGATGTGTGTGTGCACACCTTACCCCTGCTCAAAAGTAGAGAGACTGTTTCTAAAGAGACCCCCAACTCAAGCACCACATGTAATCACATACGCAGCCTGACCCCTATGTTTAAAACATAGAGTGACTGTTTCCGGATGACCAATGATGAGCAAGGTATCAAAAGTTGCATTGACTAATTGCTAATTCACTCTTAAAAGAAGCGCAGACAGTTTAAAGAGCCATTTTGCTTTATTCCATCATACCCCAAAGCCAAAAAATAGTGAATCTTTGGCTCCATCGGAGATTATGGACAAATTAGTTCCATGATACATAAGCTCAATTTTGTAAAGAGTGCTAGCCACCATGTAGGCAAAATACCGAGACTTCACACCTTTATGCAAGGTCTAGATGAAATTAGACAGTTGTCAATGGGTAAGAAAACATAGGCAACCATTAACCAAAGATAGTTTAGTGCTTAGGGAAGGATTAATCAGAATTAGGAACTATGAGGTTGCAGGAGGTCGATGTGAAATTAAACAATTAAAAACGGGTAAGAACACATAGGCAACCAAAGACAGCTTAGTGCTTGGCATGGATTAATCGGAACTAGGTGGGCATTTTCACAACAATGGACATATTAAAGGATAACTGTACAAGAAAATGACCAATATATCTTATGCATTGTTTGTTGGGGGTGTTGAAGATAGGGTAGCAAGGAGAAGAGATATTCATTTCAGTAATTTATTCTTATATTAGTTGGTTGGTAAGAAAGTGATCAGTAATGATGAAAAGTTGTACATAAAAATACACTATTTAAACAAAAATATACTCCGTTTTATTTTTCAATCAATAGAGATAAGTTAGAAAAAACAAAAGTTTGTTTCCCCTTCCTAAATCCCCCAACCAAACAAGCCATTCGCTTTAGCACAGTATATTTTCACATTAATACATTACTCCACCTTACAAAACATAGGGGGCATGTATAAGAGAAGATTGGGTGAAAAAACCTGAACTATAAGATGATGTCTGTAAAGACAATGTCTGACTAGTTGAAAGGTCCAACAATGAAACCTTACGATCCTGAGAAGAACAACTGAAAAGCATTTGATCTTCACTAAAAGATAAGCATGTAACAGGACCATCATGCATCCTGCAAAAGGGTAAAACAAACACATGATCAGTGAGATGCCATTTACAACAGAAAGTTGATTAAAAATTAAAGCCTAAGTTTCCAAACAGCAGAATACCAGGCTTCAGAATATCAGTTTTAAAAAAACATAAGAACAAGTCTGCTAGCAAAATAGTCATACTTAATGATTTGAGTAACTTTTCTGCTATAAAGGTCAAAGACGCGGATTTTCCCATCCTCACATCCAACCACGGCCTCTGGATCAGCATAACTGTGAAAAATGGAGTAACTAATTAGCGAAGGAGCAGATGTTCAGATTATAAGAAAATGCCCATAATCAAATAGGAGGAAGTTTGTATGCCTAAGAACAGAGGTGGCTTGGGAATCAGGAATATCTCACATTGGGATAAGGCTACTTTTATGATGAGGCTAGTATGGGATATCAGGATATGGCCAAGAAAGAAATCCTTTTGGTCAAATGAGTACACAGTAGATATTTAAAAGACAGTGACATATGGTGTTATATTCCAAAACCAGGCTGCTGCTAGTATTGGAAGAAGTTGATACAAGTCAGAGGTGACACGAACTAAAGCTATGGTGGACTAAGGTCATATGGAATAATCTAATCACCCCAAAGCATCAGTTTTTTTTTGGATTCTAATTAAGGAGAAGGTTCGAAATAAGGACAAATAGATAAAGTTCATGGATATCTTCTTGGAGTGCCCTCTGTGTGAGCAAGCTGTAGAAGATGCAAAACATTTGTTTTGGCAGTGCATATACATGGAAACACTAAGGAGTATGAACGTATGGCCTTTGGTTGGCTAAAAACGAATTGTGAGGTAGGTTCATGTGAGGGTATCCTGAAGTGGCTGCATGAGTTTCAGGGAAGGATCCGAAGAGGTGTTTATACTGCTGCTTTTGTGGGCTATATAGGATATTCAGTTTGGAGGGATAGGAATCACTTGGCATTTCGAAAGAATACTATAGTAAACAAAATTTTTGCTCATATTAAGTTTCAGTCATGTTTTTATATTAATAGTAAAATTAGAGGCAAAATTTACTTTAAGTAGAGATTGTGTTGTAAAAGGCTGTATGGATATTGGGTTCCTGGTTGCCTCCTAGATGTTGATAATCACCACAGGAGAGCTTAATATATAGTACATTCAGTCAAAAAAACTAAAAAAGCTAACTAGCTAAGAGAAGTTTCAGGTGCAAATCAAAATCGTGCTAGACAAGTCAAAGCAAATATTAGATAGAAGCATCCATGTCAGTAAACAAAACCCCTAAGGGCATTATCATTTAACAAATGCTCAGCACCAATGTCCTCACTATTTATTGTTTGACCTCACATTTAAACAGAGGCTTCTGTTTAGGCACAAAATATTGGACTGCAAATTAGTCAGTCATGTGAAGACTTGTTATGTGCATGAAACCATAACCATATCATGGGCATCAACACATTTAAAACTTGCAAAGGAAAAAAAAGGAACATTGAAAAGGTATTGCGCACCGCATAGTAAGTCCATTCGTGAAAAGGCCATCACGTGAGGAAAATACACTCCTTGTTCCAGTCCGGTTCCATATGCATATCCGGTCACCAACCAAACCAACAACCTACATACAAAGTCCCATAATCAGAACAGAGACGCAAATGAAAATACAAATGTTAATTCAAAATAAAAAGGCACTGAGGCCTCCATAACAATATTCCACACAATTTATACCCATTAATGCTTTTCCTCCATTCACCCTTTTGACGGTTTCAAAAAAATAATTGATTATTTATACTTCTTCGGTACGACGAGATGAAAGGGTTATTCTTACTGCTAAGCCACAAATAACGGTCCTTTTGATACTCCAATACATACCAGTATAGTTAGTATAGTGGTATCATACCCGATACCACTGTACTAACTATATTTCCTCACAGGTGTAGCCTTCTCAATGATTTAACAATGCATCCTTCACATATACAAAGTGCATAATTGCACATAAACTCGTGCTCTTCAAAACAAGATATGCAGCATCCTATATTTTCCATCAACTAATCTCTCATAAATGTTACACAATTACACCAATAATCAGATATCTAGATGGCCATGTCTTTCTTAAGTATCTACCTTCTTTTCTTCAGGGCTCGCTACTTTTGCTTATTGCCTGTTCATATATCTTCTATATAGACGATCCAGAATACAAATGACTCTTCTACAGAGTGTACTCTATACCTTTTATTATATCCTTTGTATGAGTAATGAGCTAAAGTTTAAGCATAAACCAACTGCTTTAGAATTTTATTTTCATATCTCTATACTTAGGATGAGACCCCAACAAAGTTGAGATTATACAGTTGTTGTCATGCTACTTTTGCTTATTGCCTGTTCATATATCTTCTATATAGACGATCCAGAATACAAACGACTCTTCTACAGAGTGTACTCTATACCTTTTATTATATCCTTTGTATGAGTAATGAGCTAAAGTTTAAGCATAAACCAACTGCTTTAGAATTTTATTTTCATATCTCTATACTTAGGATGAGACCCCAACAAAGTTGAGATTATACAGTTGTTGTCATATTGCCAAGGTGAGTCGTGGCTCTAATGTACCACCAGAATGCCTAGTCGACTAGGTGACCCCTCATACGACAGTAAGGGGACAAGTCATAACTTAGAATTCTAGTACATTAGTAACACTAATATAAAGTTCCAAAATTTAACATCATCTTTTAATATATTCTAAGTTTATCAGAGTACTAGGTATATACCCAAAAAAGAGTACTTCATCAAATTTTAAAAAATTAGATACATTAAAAAAATCAATATAAAATAAAACCGAGTACTACATACTTGGTGCACTAAAAAAATACCCGGAAATAAGATCCACGGACAGCTAGTAAGATAAGATCCACCAACACACTGAAGGCTATAAATTTATCGATTAATGCTTTCATCAGTACTGAGATTCCGTGAAGGCTGCAGCCTGCAAAATCAACCAACGGCCATGAACGTCACTTACGGCGAGGCTGTCGATCAGCGGTGGAAAGAGCAGGGGAGGAGCGACTCAGATGTTCCAACTTGTGTTACTGTGTAAAAAAGGACTTCTCGACTTACGTAGTCGTTTTAGTGATGAACAGGCTGCCTACGTGTCCCTAAGGTGACGCCATACTACATGAGGCAAAACCTGGCAAGTCAGGGATCCATGGCGAGAGTGCCTTATCGACGGGACACCAAGCCATTGCCTAGGCAACGCCGTGACAACTTTTTGCATACCTAGGAATGACTTAAGACTCAACAACAACAACAACAACAACCAACCTAGTAAAATCACATGAATGAGGTCTAGGACACCTTACCCCTGACCTAGAAAAGGTAGAGAGGTTTCCGAAAGACACCCGACTCAAGCACAAAAGACAAATGTTAGTACATTTTAACCGATAGGGAAATCAAAAGGAAAAACACTAAACCACAAAAGGTAAATTTAAACCAAGCAAACATTTTACATCAAACCCATTTTGAAAGCCATGCACACCCATGAGAACCACCCATATCTAGGCCTACCCAACAACTTTAATCCTAGATGGCTAGATCACTAAACGCTCCTATCAAAGTCCAGTTCTTTGGTGAGCTCTTGAAGCTGCATGTTTTGTCTAATCACTTCGCTCCAACTCTTCATCAGTCTACCTCTAATCATCCTCAAATTCCCTACTTTTAGCTTCTCGCACCTCCTTACTAAGCATCAATACTTCTCACTTAAGCATCAACCTTTTCCTCATCATGTATACAAACCATCCTAACCTAGCTTCTCACATGTTATCCTCCACAAAAATCACTCTTGCCTTGTCATGGATATCCTCGTTCCAAACTGTATTCTTCTTTGTAATACACTAGTAACATAAATGAATATAATATATCAATTTGAGGGGAGCCTTGCATCAGTTGAGGTATTTTTGTATGGCGTTGAGGTCACGCATCACAAGTTTGAGTCCTAGAAGCAGCCTCTTGCCAAAATGCAATGTAAGCTTTTTTTTACATCACACCTTTATGGTCGAACCATCCTCCAGCTCAGTAAGGAACTTGTATGAAAACGTTGGTCACCAATTTAAACAAAAAAAAACTCCCTAAACGTCTTGCCAAACACTCTTGTCCATCAATTAAACAAAGTGCATCAAAACTCTAACACTATGTTTGGTTCAAGGAATTTGGAAGGAAAAGAAAAGAAAATGTGTTTCCCTCATTTTCCTCACCAAAATGGAGGGAATTTGGTTTTCCCTCCTCTTAGTACATTTTTCCTTTTTATTTTCTTTTCCTTCCACTTTTCTTTTCTTTTCCTCTCTTACCAAACAAGAAAATTATTTTCCTTCTCACTTTCTAGACCTTTCCCTCTCAAATTCCTGAACCAAACATAGTGTAAATATCAAGGATGCATAGTGCGTTTAATATTACCTTGCTCTCATCGAAGTCGTAATCTCTTAGAGGGGCTTTCATGGGCAGCGTATATTCATCCAAGCATTTGTAGCTTTCTGCTGACCAGAGTCGCATGGCCTAGATTTTTGGGATGATGAAAATGTGAAATATATTAGAGGTCAAAGATATCACCAAGTACCTTACTGACTCAACACGATAGACAATAGTCTTCAACAAGTAATAATTTTCAATAGAGTGAAAACTCAACCAACTAGATAGCATCGCTTGGTCATTGTTTTGTTGGGGCATGGAAATGGGATGTGCAGTGTTGATTTGGCCATGTGGAGACCTTTGGGATTGAATTGTGTGAAATATACAGCTAAAAATCTAAAGAACATAATTATGGAGATATAGAAAGAATAGTTAACAAAAATATCACTGCCAACTTGACAAACAAAAGGCATCCTACCTTATCACCCACACCAGTCAGAAATTGTCCCATCTTCATTCGGCACTGACTAACCCTAATAGTATGTGAAGTCATAAGTGCTTTTTCATGCAGTAGTCAACAAGACAATTCAAGCCCCAATCTCCAATATTATTCAGAGCATAAAGTAGAAACTATTAGTTGTAACCTCACCCC